CATGGCTTGGATCAATGTGAACACTCTTTAAACAGATATCCTTCTTTTTCAGCATTTTGGAGAGGTCCTTGAGAAAATTTTTCCAATACAGCAAATCTTTTTACTTCTTGACTGCTGTGACCATAGGTATTGAATATAGATCAAAGTAAAATGAAATAATTGACAACTTCAATCTTCCTCCACCTATCCACATATTGTCTATTGGTCCAGTTGTGAGAATTTTTTCTTGATGTCAAGATTTAACTCAGATTGAAGGCTATAATCTCATCTTCGTTAGCATGCAATTCAAGTCTTCTTCATTTTCATCAAACAAGGTTGTGTCATAATGCAGGTTGTTGATGAGTCTTCAGTCCTGATGCCATATTTTTCTTCATGTAGTCCAGCTTCTTTACTTATTTGCTCAGTATACAGACTGAATATGTGTGGAGAAAGGATGCAACACTGACATCTACCTTTCCTGATTTTAGTCCATGCATTGTCATTGTTGTTGTTAGGGGCTGTTGTTAGTTGGTGTTAGAGTCAAATATGACTCATATGAACTCATGTGATCCTATGAACACCAGATCTGAACCCTGTCCTACCCGGTGCCATTCTCATAATTCTGACACACTTGAGCCAATTGCTGTAGTCACAGTGTCAGTTCACTCATTGAGGGTCTTCCTCTCTTTCATTGACCCTCTCCACCTTTCAACCATAATGTACCTCTCCAAGGAATAGCTTCTCCTAGAAATAAGTTCAAAGTGTGTGAGTTGGAGCTTCACCATCTTTGTAACACTTTGGTTGCACTTTGCGCTGGACATATTTGTTCTTTGTATAGTCCATAGCATATTCAATACTCTTCTCCAACACCGTGACACAATGATATCAATTATTCTGTCATCTTTATTCAATGTCCAGCTCTCATATACTTAGCAAATAACAGAAAAAAACCACGGCCTGGATCAGGTGCGCCTTAGCCTTCAAATTGGCATCAATGCCCCTCAGTAATTTGGAGAGATCCCTGACAGCACATTTGCCCAATTCAATATGTCTCCCAATCTCCTGACTGCGGGTTTCCAGGTTGTTGATGTGGAACTAAGTATAATTAAATCATTGACAATTTCAATTTTTTACTTTCTCTACCATGATGTTGTTTATTGGTCCATTGGTGAGGATTTTTGTCTTCTTGATGTTGAGATGCAATTCATATTGAAGGCTTGTAATAGTTGATCATATTCAGCAAGCATTTAGGTATAACTTAACTTGAGCACCTTAAGTGTTCTGGAATTCTCATTCTTCCCAGTATTACTCTATTTTTTTTATGATCGACACAGTGAAATTCCTTTGCATAGGCAATAAATCACAAGCAAACATTTTTCTGATATTTTCTGATTTTAACTAAGGTCCCCTTGACATCTGCAATGATATCATTTGTGCCTCTTCTAAATCTAGTTTGAATTTCTGGAAATTCCATGTCAATGTACAGTCCCAGCTACTTTTCCATAATTTTCAGCCAGATTTTACTTGCATGTGATATTAATTATTACTGTTCAGTAATGATACAATATTGCATGCTGAAACTGATGAGGACCTTAAGCCTTTACTGCAGAAGGTCAAGGACTGCAGTCTTCAATATGGATTGCATCTCAACATCAAAAAGACAAAAGCTTAACATCAAGAAAACAAAGATTCTCACCACTGGGCCAAGTGGCAGCATCAAGATAGACAGAGAAGAGATTGAGATTTTTAACAGTTTAGCTTTCTTGGCTCCATCAACACTCTTGGCACCAACAGCAAGGAAACAAAAAGACAACTTGTACTTGGAAATTCTGCTGTCAGGGACCTCTTCAGAGTACCAGGGAGCAATGATTTCACTGTAGAGACTAAAGTGTACCCAGTCCAAGCCATGGTCTTCACAATTACTTGCTATGCATAAGAGAGTTGGACAACAAAAAACGATGATAGAAGAAAGATCAATTTCTTTGAGTTGGTGCTGGAGAAGATTATTTAACATACCATAGGCTACCAATAGGATAAATATCTGTCCTGAAGACAGTGAATCCAGACTGCTCCTTGGAGGCAAGGATTTTGAAGCCCAATATCATATACTTTGGGCATGTGACCAGGAAGGACCAGTCCCTGGAGAAGATCATGATGTTTGGAAAGGTGGAGGGACAGCACAGGATAGGAGGACCCCAGATGAGATTAATTGACACAGTAATTGGGGTAATGGGGATAGGTGTGTCAGAGAAACACTTGGTTGGCTCAGGACAGAGCAGACTTCAGAGCTATTGAACATAGGATTGTTATGAGTTGCAAGCAACTTGATGGCACATAACAACAACAAAAATAAGGACAAGGGAATTTCTGTACATAAAGGTAAACTTCTAGGAGTGATACAGAGAGTAAGTTCACATGTATAAGGTACTAAAGTAGCTCCGTTTCCTTTCCCTATTTATGTGATGTCTCTAGTCAGGAAAGGAGCCTTAGTGAGATATTACTTATGATATGGGGCTGCTAACCAAAAATTTGGCATTTTAAGGCTACTGAATGGTATGGTGGAGAAAGATGGGAAGTCTTCCCTGTAAAGACTTCAGCTTCAGCAACAGGTGGAGGGTCTATATGAATTGGAATCAACTCAACAGCAAAGGGTTTGGTTTATTCTGGAAAATATCGTTGTTTTTAAACATGCAAGAATCTCCTCTTATTTATCAAATTAAAGCAATGTCATAAGACATTTTGACATGGGAACTATTAAACTGCATGCTATTTTTTTTAATGTATGATGAGAGATTTTATGCTTACATATATCTCTTGATAAAATATCTGTTTATCCCCACTACCATCAAATGCAGTTCCTCACATAACACTTCATGGTGTTTCTGATACTGTAAATCTTTTTAGCAGGAGACTGTTCATCTTTCATCCCATGACGTGGCTGATGAACTCAAACTACCAATTTTTAACAACCAGTCATGTTACATACTATGCCCTCAGGGCTCCTAGGGTATATAGAAAAGGACCTCCATATTTACCTACCTACCCAGCACCTTATGACTTGTTAATATACAGTATTATAACATACAGTATTAGTCTCTTGAGCACAAATTTATCATACCAAATCACAAATGGCAGTTTAGTATTACCAGACTACTCAGTACTTTACATCTCAGTAGTTGGTTTCACTGCTTCCATAAGTTTGAGGAAGATAAATATGAAGTCTTCATTCTCCTTTTAACATTTGTTAGAATTCATGAGTGAAATAATTTTCCCTGACATTTTTTAGGTAGAAGAAATTATTATAATTTTTACTAACATAATTTTTTCACTTGTAAAATTGTTCAAATTTTCTGTTTCTGAAAGTAAGTGCAAAGGACTTTATATGTCCTTTTGTCAGGTATGGTTTACTTTTAAAAGTTAAAAAAAATTGTTCACTAAGGGCCTTATATGATTATGTTTGCATTTCCGTTAATCAATTCAATTGGATAATGGCCAAGTATTCACTTAGTGTCTATATGACTTACATACACGGCATCTACCTGAGTGGAAATCAAATGGTTAATATTTTTAAAACTGAAGAGAAGAATCTTGGAAATTTGCCAGACTTTTTTCTTCTGGTTTTGTGATATAAATAGCTGGAGTATTCTATGTATACTCAGTTAACCACCTGGACTCTCATTACAGATGAATCCAAGGAAGAACATTCTAGATTTTGATACTGTAGCACTAAGTCCTGTGTACTAGAAAAGCTTGTTGTAAGAAACTTTTGTCTCAGAGGTGAAGTGTTGCTGGAGGAACCAGGTAAGGAGGAAGCAGACAACAGAGTAGTTAAGCACCCAATGAGTTGTACTAAAAAATAGGGGAAATTCACATACACTAGAATACTTTTTTACTATAATACTCCTCCCAATAATTTACGCTTAGTCACTCACCACTTTGAATCCCATTCCGTTTTTGCAGATTAAGTTTCAATGTGATCTGGTTTAACGTTAAATTCAAATTCAAGGGTGATTTCACCCAAACGGGCAAGACAAAGTGTCAAAATGAAGCAGGGTGAGACAAAGCAGGATTCTTGCTTTTCCTGGAAAACCGCTAGACCTATTAAAAAACACACACATCTTATTTGAAAAAGAATGGAAGGGAGAGATATTGGGGCAGTCAGGCAACACAAACCCCAAGTTTCTGTCCACTGTTCCCACTTAAACAGAGTACAAGTTATGATAATCAACAATACATGACTCTTGCCATTATACATTGGAAAATTTCTGTGATTTCAGTTTTCATTTCAGCAAGCATTCATTGGAGTATAGGCATAATCAGGAACCAAAGGAAACTTTCCCTTTAAGCCCTGGGGAGTCAAGACCCACCCCCCAGAGCTTCTGGGCTCTGGAGCCCCAGCTCATTGGTGGTGGGGGCAGGGCGATTTGGACATGTGTGATATATGCTGTCTGTCCTCAAGATAGAGGTAAGAGGCTTCTGGAGCCCCAGGATTAATATGGAGAGAAAACAAATCAGTTTATGAGCCTGGGCTCTCTGCTCCCGCTGCTGGGGTCACAGTCAAAAGAGACAGGGTCTCTTCATAACAGAAATTAGAGCAACCACTTTTCTTCCTGAGAGTGAAGTTTTCTGGGTAAAGGGGCTTTGGGTATGCAAAGTGTCATAGGCCAATTGCCAAGAAGAGAAGGAAGGAAGGTGGAAAGGAAAGGACTCCAGGAAATGGATCTCCACTGCTTGGGGCGTGCAGGGGTCTCAGGTGGGGAAGTAAAGGGTGAGGTGAGCATCTTCGGTGGCCACTGGCGGTAGACAGGTGGAGTGAGGCCGGCTCAGGCCTGGGCGCTCACGGCGCACTCCTCCACCTCCTTTCCTCTCTGGACGCCCGGGGCAGGGAAAGCTCTGGTCTCCTCCCTGTCCCGCCGCACCGGTTCCCGCCCCGCCCCGCCCCGCCCCGCCTGGCCACGGGGCTCCCGGCTCCCAGGAGAGCTGGCCCAGCCGAGGTGCGGAGATCTCTGGAGTCCAGGAGGATGGCCAAGGTCCCGGAGCTGGAAGACTCCTTCCTGCAGACACCCCAAGAGTCCCCCAAGATCCAGGAGTGCTGTGTGCAGCTGCTGGGCAAGGGCTTGCTCGCCTACCCCGAGGACAGGGCGTACCTGGCGGCCGAGGTGGAGTCAGGAGGCCCGCTGCGCAACGACAAAGCGGACGAACGCGAGCGGCCAGTGGGAGTGAAATCAGGTGAGTGCGCGCTCGCCGTGGGGATGTGAGCGGCCACCGAGCGCCCAAAGAAGGGAGACTAATAAGAAAAAGAAGCACGCTGCAAACACACAAAGATGCAGAATGTCTGTCCATATTTTAGTATTTTCCTGAGAAAATGTTTGTCAAATAGTTTGGATTTTGCAGAGCTGCCTCCACTTTGCTTGCTCAATTTACGTGACTCAAAGACATAGTTAGAGGCTTCTTAATTGAGTCTATATTCCCTTTAAATAAAAAATCCTCTTTTCAATTTGCGGTCAGAAATGCCCTTAAGCAACGGTACCTTTTCCTCTGAAGAAGAAGATGGGGATGGCCAAGACAGCAAAGCCAAAGAAGGCGACTCACAGCATCTCTCTCAGAAGAAAACGGTCACTCAGATTATGAAGGATAAAAAGAGGCAGACCCAGCTCACGCTGCAGTGGTAAGGTTCAGCGCCGGGAGCACGTCCAGCACGTGTTGAGCTTTAAAAGCTAGTAAACTTCTCAGCTGCTTTTCACAGTTTGCTTCTCCCTCAAACTTTTCTGAAGTTTTAAAGACCAACCAGAGATAATCCAGTATTTCTCGAAGCTGCACGTTTGGTGTAGAGACAGACGCTTGTAATGTGTAATGCAAATAGAAAGTGCGCAACTCTGCTCGTAATTGACTAAGATCACAGACTGAAAATACAAGTTATAATGTTTTTTTATCATAACTTTCTTTGCTTAGCGCATGTCATAATTTTAGTGCTTATATGGTCGATATTTGGCAGCTTGTGTGTTTCTAAAACAAGATATTTTTTAAAAACTCTAAAGGAGGGTTGATCTTAACTTTAATTTTGTCAGTTATTATAAGAGGGAAAATTAAAAATAGTGCATTGGCAATTAGGAATACTTTTGAAATAGAAGGAATAAAAACTACCTGATCAGGTAAAATATCACTATTAACTAAATAAATGTTCAGTTATTTTACAGCACATGTCAGACATAACGTAGTGGAATATCATAAACTGGATTTTATGGTAAATTGCTAACAACCATGAACATCAATTGTCTCGATTCTTAGAGAACATTTAAAACTATCGATTTAAAGTTAATTTTGGAATTAACATACAACACTAATCTTTCCTTCAATGTCTTAAGAAGAAACAAGACTATAAATTCCCTCCATTTCCGAAGAATAAAAAAGAAATCAATATCATGGCTTGGATATTTACCCTTTAGTCATAATCTATATCTGTGTGAAATATGATCTAAATATTAGAAAATAGAATAGAAAAAAACAGCACCTAAAAAATAGTTATTAATTAAATAATGGGTAGCAAATGATATATAATTGATTTTTAAAGATTTTATACTTAGAGAGGTAAGTAGATGGAACTATTAAAATAATTAGGACACAACTCCTAATTAGATAATTAGGATATAAGTGTTTTTATTTCAGATGTATTATGAAGGTATTTCAAACGCTCACCCTTACTTTTTCATTGGAAGCTGAGTGGCAAGAACCTTTAGTTTTATTTTGTTAATATGCTCACAGTAAGACCAAATTAAAAAATGCTATACTTAAAAATCCCGTGTTTAGGACTAAATCTTTTGAAGACAAAGACAACTACCTCTACAATACCAAAAGAGCCAAGAGAAAAGTGAATATTATGTGCATGCTGTTAAAATACAATTTTTAAAGAGCAGACTGTTTCTTAGTGATACTACTTGAAATAATAAGATTCTGCATTTTTATTTGAATTTTCTATACTCTTAAGAACATATATTAAACACTAAAAAGCACACAGGTAAATATTTGTATATTTGTTTGCATCTCTTTAGGTAGTAAACTATCATTGGCATGTTAATTAAAATTGAAAAACAATGAAAAATTTGATTGATTAACCCAAATTTTTGCTATCAGATATTTGTTTGGCTTTATGTATACAAATGAAACTTAGGTTTTGACATACTAATTCTTACTGTTTTTAGCCTTTTTTTTCCCCTAAAGAAAAATAGTTAATATTTCAATTACTCAGGGAACATTTATACAGTTTTTATCTTTTGCATGGTAAAAATGGCAAGTCTGACATTTTGCAAGTTCCACTTGATTTTTATATGAGTGTGTGCTCTGCATTGCATTGTTTCTGTATTCTAATTCATTTTATTCTACTATATATCGTCTTTGGAGCAGGAGTGGCATCCACTTCCTAAACAACAAGCTTCTGGAAACTCGATGAAATTTAGTAAATGTCAATAGTTGTAGAGGGGCTTCAGGCCTTTTGTTCATAGGGGTCACTATGAATCGTGCTTGATTTGAAGGCAATCAACAACATCAACAACAACGTATATAATCTATAATTTTAAGTAAAAAAAAGTCTACTGTATTTTATGAAGATTGAGAATAGAATCTGGAAGTTCTGATTTTGAGATTTTTCTGAGTTTTAGAAAGATGGGACATAGATCCTAGACATTCTGATTTCTAGATTGATTGCTGTTTAGCTACTTGTAAAAAAATATATATGTATTTATATATTTAAAACATTTTAATAAATTACATTGAATGACAGCTGCAGATATGAAGATTAAATGGAATTATCTTTAAATATCCAAAATTTCTATAATGTTAATAACATAGAATTGAAGTTATATGTCATGTTTGGAAGTTATCAATGAAGAATTTCATGTATATTTCCAATATATAGAATACTTTGGATAGTTATAGATCAATTATAGTATATAATCAATTAGATAAATTATAGTATTTACCACAGTGAAAACATTTAGATAATTATAGATCAATTACAGCACATGATCAATTATAGTATTGATCAGTGAAAACATGAAAAATAAGTAATAGTATTGTTTCAGTTTTGAATAAAAGGAACTTGTTGTTGTGTACCGCTGAGTTGGAACCGACACATAGCTGATCTGCAGGCAGATTTTCAGAGGAAGTAATTCCAAGGGATGAGATTGCCCATCCTTCTCCCGCTGAGCAGCTGGTAGCCTCTACCTGCATACCTTCAGGATTGCAGCGCAGCTTCTTGCCCCTATTTTTGTTGTTGTTATTATGTGCCATCGAGTCACCTGTGACTCATAGCGATCCTATGTACAACAGCTCAAAACCCTGCTCTATCCTGTGCCAATTGCACTGTCTCCGACACACCTACACTTAATACCCCAGTAACTGAATCAATCCACCTCATAGAGGGTCTTCCTCTCCCGCACTGTCTTTCCACGCTCCCAAGCATGACTTCCTTCTCCAAAGATTGCTCCCTCCTTGCAACATGTCCGAAGTATGTCAGACAAAGCTTCAGAATCCTTGCCTCATAGGAATAACCTGGTTTAATCCTCTCTAGGACGAACCTGCTCATTTTCTTAGCAGTCCATAGTATATTCAATACTCTTCAGTACCACAGCTCAAAGGCATCAATTCTCCTATCATCTTCCAGCTCTCTGACACATAGCAAGTGCTTGGCCTGTATCAGGCGCACCTTAGTCTCCAGACTAACATCATTACTCTTCAGTACTTTAGAGAGGTCTCTAACAGCAGACTTTTTCCCATTGCAATATTGTTGTTGTTAAGTGCCGTCGAGTTGTAGGTGACTCATAGCAACCCTATGAATGAAGGTCCTTGACACTTGCGTGTGTGACTTTCATCCTTTCTCCAGGTTCATAGGGTTTCTGGAGGCAATCTATTTAGAGAAGTGGATGCCACTCCTGCTTCCAAGCTTGTTTCAACCAAAGAGTATCACCAAACACTGTCCACCATGGGTAATCGTTATTTCTTTTGACACTATCAGTGTCACAGTGTTTAGCTTTACAGCAACCACAAGTCACCTCTGTACAGCAAGTGGACACACCAGGTCTATAGAACCTTGAAGACTGTTTGAACAAAAACAATTAAAAACATCCCATTGCAATATGTCTTTTAATTTCCTCGATGCTGGTGCCAAGAGTGTTGATTGTGAAGCCACCATCTATCATGATGCTGCCAATTGGCCTAGTGGTGAGAATCTTTGTTTTCTTGATATTGAGCCTCAATCCATACTAAAGACTGAAGTCCTCACATGCAAGCAAGATTCTGCTGAAGAGTATCCAAAAATGAGTAGAACATCACTCTGTTGGAACAGACTGGGTGGGTTTAGAAGGCGTCATGGTACTAGCGATATTGTAGCTAATGTTAGATTGATATTGGCTGAAAGCAGGGAGTGAGTACCAGAGGAGTGTCTAGCTGTGTTTCATTGATTATGCAAAGGCGTTTGACTGTGTGGATCACTACAAACTGTGGCTATCTCTGAGAAGAATAGGAATCCCAGAACACTTGATCATGCCAACGTGAAATCTATACTTGGACCAAGACGCAGTCATCGGAACAGAGCAAGGAAACACTACATGGTTCAAAATTAGGAAGGGTATACACCAAGGATGTGTCCTGACTCCATACCTTTTCAGTCTATATGCAGAACAGATTATCCGGGAGGCTGGCTTGTATGAGGAGAAATGTGGGGTCTGATTGGAGGTAGATTCATCAACAATCTGTGTTATGCAAATGACACAACCCTGCTTGCTGAAACTGAGGAGGACCTGAAGCACTTGCTAAAGAAGGTCAAGGACTGCAGCCTTCAATATGGATTGAGGCTCTTGCCACTAGGCCATCATAATTTGTAATGAGTGCACTATTAATAATTAATTTCCCTAAGTAGTTGAGGCACAGTCTTTTTGTGAACAAAAATAAGAGACTGTAGGCATTTGATAACTTAAACGTTTGGCAGCTCTTTTACCTTGAGGATGGTGAGTTCCTTAGAGCCACTATCTTTGTTTTTATCCTTAGTAGTTCTGTGCCATAGAGCAAACCATGAGGAAGAGTGAGGATTTTTACTGCAGTGAGACCTAATTTGGAATACAGTCCGTGCAGAAGTGATTTTATGTTAGCTGTGGTACTATATTTCATTAGTACCAATTAATTCAGATGATTGTAGGTGGTAGAAACAGCGAAGCCCTTTACCCATAGTTGGAATTCACTCAGAGGCACTTGGAAAGAAAGGCCAGGCGATCTGTGTTTGAATGGTCACACATAGCCTTGCAAACTCTTTGGATTGAAGTTCTACCGTCTGACACATGGGGTCGCTGTAAGCTAGAATCAACTATAGCTTCTTTGGTTTTGGCTTTTTTTGTTTAGCAGAAATTCAAGGTGCTTTCTTGCTGCTATAGCATTTATCCAAGGGTAATAAGGGGTAGGTGTGCCAGAAACAATGAAATTGGCTCAAGATAGAGTGGGGTTTAGATCTGTTGTACATAGGGTCACTATGAGTTGCAGGTGACATGAGGGCACATAACAACAACAATAGTAATACCCAGAACAAAGGAGCTTATTCATGAGCTCATTTATATAGTGTCTGTATTCACAGGAGGTACTATAACAATAGGGAAAGACAAAAGGAAGAAAAAAATACAACAAGAAATGGTTAAACTTTGTTTCCTTTTTTTTCTTAGGCTTGAAGAGAATTATATTGTATGTGAAGGAGTTTGCTTACCACGGTGCATCCTTTATGCACATTATTTAGATTTTTGCAGGAAGGAGAAGTTGGAGCCAGCCTGTGCTGCCACTTTTGGAAAGGTAAACGACATATTCTGGTTATACTGTTTTAAAGCCAAACTCATTTGAGCACTGAAACAAATCCATCCGTGCATGTTCTCCTAGAAAATATTAAGCATCCATTTCACAATAATCAAAGAAATCTCTTAAGAGTTGTGCTTGGAACTGCTCTATTTTGATGCCTTGATTTGGAATATTAGTGCCCTATAAGAAAATGTGACATGACCTTGCCACTGACTTCATTGAAATAGTGTTATTTCCTGTCAAAGGTTAATAAATGGACTCATTTTAGGGTAACTTAAACAATGTTGTTTGTTAATTACTTTGGACTCAGAAGGGACTCCTAACTGAGCCTCCAGCAGTTTTTCAAAGGCAATAAATTGCACAAGGGGAGATTGTTGATCTTTCTTCCTCTGAGATGGCTGGTAGATTCCGACCACATGCCTTCAAAGTGGCAGCCCACCTCCTGTGCTGTTGTTGTATTCCATTGAGTGGGAACCAACCCATAGCTGATTCTCTAATGGGTTTTCAGAGGCAGAAAATCGCATGGGAGGCAATTGCCTAAATTAAACACAGGCAGCTAGTATCTTTTAAATGAAAATTGCTGATTATTGTAAGTAAAAGAGATTTTTAAAACCTATTCTCATTCATTGTCGTGGTGTCAGAATTGACTCATAGTTGAACTCTCATTAGATTTTGAGGCTGTTACATTTTACCAGAAGAGATTGGCATCTCTCTCCTTCAGAGCCCTGGTAGGTTTGAAACTTCAGATAGGCATGCCTTAGTGTAGCTTTCTATGAGCTAATCATCTTAATTTTTCATTTCACTCTGAGTATCTTTATATCTCAAGCTTCCAGAATGTTTAAATGGATTTATTAAATCTCTATTAAAAATACTCCTTTATAGTCAACCTACTGGCATGGTATATATTGTGTTTGGCAGCTAACCTAAAGGTCAGAAGTTCAAATCTACCAATTGCTCTAAGGGAACAATCTAAAGATTTACAGCTTTAAGAAAACCAATGAAGGATAGCTCTGAATCAGAATTGATTCATCCATCAGTGGGTATTTGGTTTATACTATTTGTATACTTGCCTATACTTGTACTTATTGATATGATTTGAGACTCAGGAAGTAATATCAATTTATTCGGTAAGTTTTATTCTTGAGATTCTGAGTTATATTTTGTTGACGGAGAACTTTGAAAAATTATGTAACTTGAGTATAATATCTCATAGCAACTGAAATCTAAATCCAACATGTAGAGGAACTCACTGTCCAGAAAATAATGCCATGGTCCAGATTTCAAAATTTATTAAGAAAACCTATCTGCCCATGGAAGAATATGTGATATGGTTTCTGGAAGTCAAGTAATCTAGGTTTTACCTAGACTGTTAGTACTGTGTTGTGAGACCTTTTGAGAGACCCTTAACTTTTTTGAAACTGGGTTCACTCACTCCAAAAAATGAGGTTGAAATAAGGAGGTTAAGCTTCTAATGCTCATGTTAGCATTACTGTTTTATGGGGATATTTTATAAAAGTAATTCCTGATATTTTGAATAGGGGCTGGTCATGAGACACCTTGAGACTTTAATAAAAACTATTGGTAGAGTCAGTTCCCAGGAAATTAACACACACTTTAAGTTTTCCATGAAGTGTTTGAACATTCATGCATGGATGTCAAAGATCAAGGTTTAAAATTCCTTTTTTTCCCCCTATGGAAGATAGTTGTGTTATTTAATCAGATCCTACTTTTATGAAAACAATTTTTAAATTTTATTTTATACTGGTTTACATATAAAGTTCGGATATTGCTTTTGACACATTTCACCCACTCATTACTGGGAAATTGGAACGGACTCTATCTAGAAGCTTTTTAGAGGCTCAAAATAAAGTGGAAGGAGATTGCTCATCTTTCTTCCGAGGAGCAGCTGATGGATTTGAATCACCTGTTTTTGCGTTGACAGTGCAATTCTTTATCCAACAGGCAGCACATTTAGAGGAAGGTCTATACCAAAGATTTTATACCTTTGTTGAAGAGATTCAGTAAAGCAGAGGAAGCTCTGGGGAAGAAATAGAAATTAACCTTTAGGTGACATTATTATAAAGAAACTAGACTTTCACTAAGTACTTGGAAACTAAGCGAAGGGCAATAGAATTTTCCAAACAGTGATATATTTATTATGAATGGATTGCAGTAGAGTGACATCCTTTCTAACAATGAAAAAACTGACTTTCTTTTCAGACAATTCGCCAAAAATTTCCCCTCTTAACTACACGACGACTTGGAACAAGAGGTCATTCAAAGTAAGACACATTAATGCACATGAATTAAATCAGTCCTTTATACATGATGATTGACACAAATGCAAAAAAAGAGTATAAGATCAGTTGAATAAAAACAGGTATTATCGTTTTGATGAATCAGATATTTATTAACTATAACAACTAAAAAAAAATTGGATTTTTGAGTAATGTTGAAAAAGCAAAAATGTATGCAGAAAAGTCATGATCATAACCCATTATTGTTCCTGCTTAAACACTTGAAATTTTTTGCAGTCATAAAGCCACTACTGAAGGCATCATTTTTATGAAAGGGAATTGTATGTTTAAACATTCCTGAAGAGCAGGATCAAAGCCATGAAGTTGAAGAGCTATGAGTTGAAAGTGACTTAGTGAGGTTCAGGTTGTTAAAATTTTGTTTCCTAGATGATAATTTCTTAATCTCACCTTACTTTCCTTTCAAGAGTATGATGTTTTCTTTGGTCATGTCAATGTAAATATAAACATTACACACACACACACACACACACACACACACACACACACACACACACATCCTACTGCCGTCCATTTGAGTTTCTGTGGCTATAAGTCTTTATAGAGAGAGGTTACCCATCTTTCTTCTGTGGAGTGGCTAATGGAATTGAACCACTGACCTTTCATTTAACAGCCCAACGTACAATGTACTATACCACAAGGGCTCATAAAACATAAACTCCCCTATATCCTGTCTCTTGATATATATATATATAATTTTTTATTTGTGGCAGCTTCTGTAGAATGCTTAATTTATAAATTCTTTCACATTAATTATTCCTCTATGTCAATATCAAGAAAACAACGATTCTCACCACTGGGCGGATTAGTAACATCATGATGGATGGTGAAGAGAATTGAGATTGTTAACAGCTTAAGTTTGCTTGGCTCCACAATCAACACTCTTGGCACCAGCAGCCAGGAAATTGAAAGATGGATTGGGAAAGTCTGTGGTTAGAGGCCTCTCTAAAGTACTGAAGAGCAACAATGTCAGTCTGGAGATTAAGGTGCGCCTGCTACAGGTCATGGTCTTTGCAATTATTTGCTATGCATCAGAGAGCTGGACAATGACTAGCGATGATAGAAGGAAAATTTATGCCTTTGAGCTGTGGTGTTGGAGAAGAGCATTGAATATGTCATGGATTGCTAGGAGAATAAACAAGTTTGTCCTGAAGAGGGCGAAGCCAGGCTACTCCTTAGAGGCAAGGATTCTGAAGTTTCATCTGACATACTTTGGACATGTTGCAAGGCATACTTTGGACATGTCTCCAGTTGCAAGGCATACTTTGGACACGTCTCTAGTCCTTGGAAAGGGATGCTATGCTTGGGAGGGTAGAGGGACAGCGCAGGAGAGGAAGACCCTTGATGAGATGGATTGATTCAGTGACTGGGGTAATGTGGGTAGTAGGTAAGTCAGAGACAATAAGGTTAGCACAGGATAGGGCAGGGTTTAGGGCTATTGTACATAGGGTTGCTATAAGTTGCAGGCGAATTGATGGCACACAATAACAATAACAACACATCTACTATCTCCTTAGTTGCTCTTTACCTTCTGCTATAAGCACAATTTTTCATGCTGGAGTGTTGGGCCCTTTACTCACTGTAACTTCAGCAATAGCCCTATAATTTTGTTTTCTCACTGTTGTTTCTTAAAGGAGTAACTGTTTGCTCAATCTCACTGCTGATCATATCCCCTTCTCCTCGTCAGTTACTTTACTTGGGCAAAACCACAATGCCTTACTTTTACTGTTTATCTTCTGTTGAACTTGTCTCACATTTTAACCTGCTGATAAAATACCCTTTTAAAATAGTTAAATTGATAAAAGTTCCTCAGTGACTTCTCTGTCCCAGTATTATTCAGGGACAGTATTTTGCTCTCTTCCTTCTTCTAATGATCTTTTTTTCTAGTGTGCTTGCTATCTCCTTCTGCCCTGATATCTAGTTCCAGACAAAATGCAATGTGGCACATGTTTTAATAAGAATTTTTTACTACTATCAAGTCTATTCTGACTCACAGTGACCCAATGGGACAGAGTAGAACTTTCTCAAGAAAAGATTACAAGTCTGTAATTGTAACAGATGCTGTCACTCTGTTATCCCTTGGAATTGCTAATGGATTTGATCTGTCAACCTTTATTTGCAGCTGAGGCTTACCCACTGCACCACTGGGGCTTCTTGGTAACCTGTCAAAGGTGTAAAATTAAACAATGAAATTAATTTTATTGTTATGTTTAATTAACCCACTCAAAAACTCAACTCGTTGCTGGCGAGTGGAGCTGACTCATAGCTGGCCCTCCAGAGGGTTTCGGAAGCTGTAAATCTCATGTGGGGACATTGTCTGACATTTTCCCATGGAGTGGCTGATGGACTTGAATGACTGGAGAGGTGTCCCTTTTGGGTCAGCAGCAGAAGTCCTTATGGACTTTGCCACCAGAACACCACCAGCACTCCCTTAACCCAACATAGCTACCATATTATTTTGCCATGTAGTAATAGGTTATTGTTGTTGTTATGTGCCGTTGAGTTGCTTACGACTCATAGCGACCCTATGTACAACAGCCCTAAAACATCACTAATGAGATATTTTACCTTCATTTTTGTGCTAAATTTTTGAGGTCTAGCATGGTTTTTACACTTTATAGTACCTTTTCAATTCATAAGAGCAACATTTGAATTATCCACTGTTTTCTGAGGCCAGTGGCAGTTCTCTTTTTATTCCCTTCTACAGAAGTTTTCCAAGTTGATCTTTTTTTTTTTTTTTTAATATACGTTTACAGAGACTTTGGATTTCCATTCATTCATTGTTGTACTTTTCTCCTTGCCCCCGCCCCCCAATTCGCTTTTCTTTTTGTAAAGTAAAAGAAAAATTCTTTCATTATTATTCAATCCTTCCCCCTAAGTCCACTCTACTATGCTATTTTCATTCTAGACTCCTGTCATAACAATAATATCTAATCATCTTTTAAAGCTCAATTTCAGTCCTATCTCTCTACTGCTTCGTAACTTTCACTGGCTCATACTTTCTACTAATTAAAGACAAGCTTTTCTCACCTCAACATTCAAAGTCCTCCATAATTTTGTCCCAATCTGTTCATATCTTATCATTTGCTCCTCATTTACCAGCATGTAGCATATGTTCTCATTGAATGATTACCCCTAAACCCTGTGATTAACCCTCAACTGCCATTCCCTCCTCCATAGCTTTGAAATTTTAGCCATTTTAAAAGAATGTTTCATCATCTTCCTCTTCTTCTAAGTCTTTTCCTAGGCTCTCAATTTATAGGAGGCCATTTCTTTATAATCTTATGGGACATTATTATCTTAATGTGAAATTGACTTATCTAATGCCCATTACAGATAGCAAGCATTTTGAAGACAGAGATGTGTCTCATTCATTTTCATACACCTTGTCTTATCAGAAATACAGTATTATCACTTAATTCTTATTTAGTTGATTTTAATGCTAACAGAATTGTGACCAAGGATAAAGATTGGCAAACACAAGATTGTCCTTGCCTTCTTACCAAATCAGCTTTGTTTCAAAATTGACTCAGCTTAACTGACTGATTTCTACTGAGTTTTATTCCTCCTGAATTGTGTAGGTGGAGAGGAGATCAGATAGGATTAAAAATAAACAGATAGTAGAGAAAGAGGCAAACTAATGGAGGGAAATCCTCTTCACAGGATCAACAAGAGGGCGGTGGGCAGACTGCAGGGAAAGTCATTTAATCCTGGAAGGAGCCTTTAGGATTACAGATGAATCATTAACCATGCCGATTGTGACACAGCAAGGATCCAGTGTTTAGGTTTATGTAACAATATGTGGTGACTTCAGGCAATTATCGAAAAGCCAGAGATATGTCCAGGAGCTAAGTACATATAAGTCTTTGATTTTGTTTTCCTTTAGTGATATACTATATTATTTTTATTACTTCAAGATCACAGTTTTGGCATTTAACATTATGAGAAAAAAAGACATTTTCCATAGGTAAAATAAATATATTGAAAGGTAGAGTAAGATATAAAATTTCTGTAATTTATAGTGGTAAATATTCTTAGCAACCTGGTGTTCCTCCTTTTATCTTGAAAGATAGTATATCAAAAGACAGCATGACTTGGTGGTTAATAGCATGAGGCTTAAAATTGGAAGCATTTAAGGTTGAATCACACACTGTGTCACTGGATGGCCAAGGATGACTATGACACTGGATGAATTAATTCCGTTTCAAGTCAGTAGATATTTAATAGCTAGATGACTATTGGGAGAGTAAAAATGAATGGAGGGATGAATATGTTTTATAACTTCATTCCCTTAATAATATGAAATGAATCACTGAACCCATGGAGAAATTAGTAATGAAAGTAAAATTATTGAATGCCAAATGCACACTGGCTACCTCTAATTTGTTTAAAACTAGACAAGATATACATGGCTCCACAATCAACACCCTTGGTGCAGCAGCAATGAAATACATTGTGTTGTTGTTGTTATGTGCCGTCAAGTCACCTGTGACTCATAATGACCCTATGTAAAACCACCCTAAACCCTGCTCTGTCGTGTGCCAATCTCACTGTCTCTGACATACCTGCCCCCATTACTCTAGTCACTGAATCAATCTACCTTATAGTGCCTTCCTCTCCTGTGTTGTCCGTCCACCCTCCCAGGCATGACGTCCCTCTCCAAGGACTGGTCCCTCCTTGCAACATGTCCAGAGTATATCATATGAAGCTTCAGAATCCTTGCCTCTAAGGAGCAGCCTAGTTTAACACTCTCTAGGATAAATGTGTTCATTTTCTTAGCAGTCCATGGTATATTCAACATTCTTCTCCAATACCACAGCTCAAAGACATCAATTCTCCTTCTATCCTCCCTAGTCATTGTCCAGCTCTCCGACGCATTACATTGGGCAAATCTGCTGTTAGGAATCTCTGCTTTCAGGAATACAAGATAGGAATTGTTATATTTTCTACATGTTGAAGTTGCACTT